AAACCAGTTTGTCTGATGAATGCAAAAGTGTGAAACCTAGGGTCACAAACTCATAGCCATACAACTGAATATGTTAGCTCCATCACTGATACTGAGCACTTTCCCCTAAATACTGCAAATACATATATATATATATATATATATTAGAGTGTGCAGCTTATATTTTATATCACAAAGAAACAATTTATACAAAGAATTAAATAGCAATGTTAATGTGATTAATGGTGAAATCACTTCACTAACAAGACTTAATGAGACATTAACTTACTATCAATTCTTTGAATAATAAGATCCTTATTTTTGAGTTGTTGTCAGATGGCAGACACATGCCAAGTACTTTTGGCAATTTCAAATTGTCATCTTGTATTTTTACGACATCAAATCCACAGCACAGTAATAATCAGAATCTTAAAATCTGTGGAACACTATTAAGACATTTTTACTCTACTAATTGGATTATACTAGGTCCATTTCACTTTAAAGATAAATACATATAACAAGAAAATTTTGTGGATTTATAACTTTTCAAAATTAAAACAAAATTCTCACTTGATTGATTTGTACAAGAACTCTAGCGTTGTGGCATTGCACACTCCAAAACATATTTTCAACTGTGAATAAATAGCATAATTTAAAAAAAACATCTTTTAGGCTACACATATTTTGTCTTAGTGTTTTCCTATGTATGAGAAAATTGCACCCTGAAGATGACAATTTGAAATTGTTGAAAGTACTTGGCATGTGTCTTCCATCTGACAACAATTCTAATATAAGGATCTTAATGCCTCAAATTCTGTTAGCGAAGTGATTTCACCATTAATCACATTAACATTGCTATTTAATTTTTTGTATAAATTATTCCTTTATGATAAATATACAAATATATTAATAAATACACATATATGTATACCTATGTTTTGGTGTACAACTTAAATTTTGCTGGTTTTCCAGCTCATCAGGCACAAGGTATATTTTATGTTTTTATGAAAATACAGCCGTCATATGGGAGGCACACTGCTTATAGTCCAAAAATAGAAAAAAAATATTGCAAAAGATGCAGGAAATGAAGTGCAGATAGTGTTTATTTAAAAAATGAGAAAAAAGGGGGGAATTAACAAAAAATAAAATTAAATAAATAAAGGAAAAAAATATAGAAATTAAATATCTAAAATTATTACTGGAGATGCTGCTCTGTTTCTGATAACACTTGCCAGGTCAAAGGGAGATAACCGGTGGGAAATCTAAAGCTTACTAAAATAAAAAATAAAATTTAAAAAAAAATTAATTAAAAGAAAAATAAATAAAAAATAAAATAGAATAAAAGAGGAATTTGGCCTGGCTTCAAGTATTTTAAGAGAAACAATTTTCTGTGCTTACAGGCTATCATTAGTTCATTCTGTTTATTAAGCAGACTATCATTGTTATTATTATTGAGGATGAATTTTTTTCTAATAGGCAGAGGTTGCAATGACCCCACTCCTTTACTAGAAAATGTGTTCCTTCCTTAAAATTAAGATTTTAAAAATCCTTAATTCAGACATTAGTTAGAATGTAAATAAAATCCTTATTATAATCAGGATGTAATTGTAAAATTAATTTATATAGGTAAACCTATTTACTGGTTCAAACTCCTCCCTGGTCTTTTGAAGAGAAACAGATTTATCATTTGCTTCCTGTTTAGGATTGGGTTTCCAGTTCCTTCTAAATTCTATATCAACTTTAGGTATCTTCACTAATTTGCTAAAAAAGAGCACACCCTGATGAAAAAAAGGCCCTGAACTTGATGAAGACAATTTTTTTATCGTCTAAATGTTTGTTATTATTAAGAGGAAAGACCAAAGTATTTTTTGAATATTTTTTTTTTTTTACATTTTTTTAATCCTTTCTAGCACGTCTGAAATTTTAGTTAAAAATCTTTGTTTTTTTTTTTAGTCAGGAAAATTGCCAAAAATCGGTAATATCTGTCATTTTTGAGAAATTTGTAAATAAAACTTAAGTACCTAAAAAATAAAAATATTGTATAGTTAGAAAAATAATTGATTTTTACAAGATTTTTAGATGGAGGTCTAAAAATCTTGTAAAAATCAATTATACCTTTTTCTAAGTTATTTGAGGAAAACTAGAAAATTTAAAGTTTACTTAATGTAATTGGAAACAAACATTACTTATTTTTTTAGAAAAATAAGAGAAGCATGACTAACCATGGGGATTTATTTTGGAGGTGTGAAGTGACGTTTATTTTGATGTATCAGGCAGAAGTACTGAAGTGACAATATTTTCGAATTTTAAATGAACCAGTTTTTCTAACTATACAATATTTTTATTTTTTAGGTAACGAAGATATGCCCAAAGCCTGCACTGTTTCCGACCCTAAAATTGAAACTAAAAAAGAAAATAATAATTGAAGTATGATTCTCACTGAACAACAATATATTAATTATATTTTAAAAAATCAAATTAAAATAGGATGTAAAAAAGAAAATTAAAAACTTTGAAAATGCGACGATGATGGTCAAACAAAGAGTCAGTCAAGTCAGAATTCCACACGTGCTCGCCCATACGAAAACAAGATTTTCAGTTTCTTTCTGTCAAGGGGAAACAACTCTTAAAACATGTGACATGTTCAGCCATACGTGTTTTTAAAATGTTTTTAAACTTTTTTTTGCATACTCAAAAGCAGTGTAAATTGTTTTAAAACACATGTGTATATAATTATAATAAGTTTTCAAATTTATAATCTGTAAAACTAGATTTACTTAATAACAGCATTCCCCAAAAGGCATGATTGAATCTTAATTTTAAAATATTTAACTTTATCACATTTTGTATTTAAAATTGAAAAAAAAAAGAAAATTCTTGTAAAAATTCACTTTTCATCGGAAATATATTTTGGCTTCAGACAATATTGTCCTTAACATATATTATTCATAAAAACCATTAAAAGCTTTTCTAATTAACTAATATTTTAGTTTTATTGGGTTTTACTTTTAAGTTACAATTCAGAGCTGAATTTTGGATAGATGTGTATTTTGATTTTAGCAAAAAAATTCGACAATTTATAATATAAATTTTATATTCTTCAAAGTCTTCAGCTTTTATCACTAAAAGAATTTTTCTAGTTTTCATAAAATTAAGTGGGAGGGTAACATATGTAAAAAAATATTTTTACCATGACTTTCTAAAAAAAAATGTATTTTCTACCAAGATTTTCTAAAGACATAAAATTTCATTCATTTTTGTGAACAAGTCCTGAAAGTTTCATTATTAAAATCAGGGAAAAAAGGTGCTAAAATACTAATGGTAAAAAAAAACTTACGCTGACTTAAAAAGAAAAAAAAAAAGATTTTTAACTAAAATTTCGAACGTGCAAGAAAGGATTAAAAAAAAAAAAAATAGTAAAAAATACTTTGATCTTTCCATTTATAATAACAAACATTTTGAAGATAAAACTTTGTTTTACTTTTATGTTTGGGTCCTTTTTTTCATCATGCTAGTGCTTTTTTCAGCAACAAAAAGCAGAGGTGCCTCCTTACAAATTCATGTTTTATTATAAATACAAAAAGTAAAACTGTTGTAATTTGTTTAAAAACTTAAAAAAAAAAAATGTACTTCATTTTCTTCCCTGGGAAGGTGCGGAGAAGAACAAAAAAGCGGAAAAAAGTAATTCATGATGAATGAATTGATTACGTAAAGGAGGAGGGGGCGAGGATGACACACGTATATATGTGAGAAGAAGGTTGGTAACAACAATGATGATGATGAATTGATTATGTGTTGGGGGTGGGCGATGATGATGATGAACTGATTAAGACGAGAGAGAGAGGATTAAATGATGACAGGGTCGATAAAGGAAAGCATCATCATCAGAGTCACGTTTTGCAAAACATGATTAACGGCAGCAAAGGTAAACAGAAACTACAAAATCTAAAAATTAACAAAAAATGTCTTCACCTCGAGTGGGTGCTTCAAATTCTTTACCTTAAGACATTTTTTGTCACAAGCAGAAGAAAATAAACATTCATTTTTAAAATATGATAAAGAAATCTAAAACAAATTATTTTTTTTTTTACGGTGGTACAATAATGCAAATTACAAATTATTTTTTTTTATATAAGTGATAAGCAGTAAAAGTCATTCAATTTTTATATTAAAAAAATGCTAACTTTTCTATGACAACTTTCCTAATAATAATTATAAAAAACTGAATTTGACTCAAACCGCCAAAATTCAAAATAAAAATGAACTTTTACTTACTTAAGAAGACTCACTAGAGATTTTTTATTTATTTTACAAAATTTACATCAATTACATTTACAGCAATTTTAAGATTAAATGTTATCCTATTTTAATGGATTTATTAATTTCTAACATTTCTTTTGATTTTTCAACCTTTTAAAAAAAAAAAAAAAATTTTTTTTCTATCAATAAAATTTTTTTTTTTTTTAAATCAATCATCCGTCATGTTAGTGTTTACAAAATAATTATTTTGTTTCAAACGACATTTTCAAATTTTTATCAAACTCCATTATCATTTTGATAATAATTATCATCATGAAGAAGAACTGCTGATCAAATTAAAATTAACAACAATAGGAAAGGTTTCCTTTTTCTTGAAAATATCAACATTTTACTTGGAAAATCTCAGCTTTTTTCAACTTGGCGAAAATTAAAATGGCGTCTTGTCAAACGAACTTTTGTCGGATCTGCAGCCAGAAATAAATGAAATTAAACAGAAAATTTTCAAAAAAGTGAACCTTAAATATTTACAGGTAAAAGAAACGGGGTTCTTTTGTTTATTGATACTAGTGAATCAATTTCCACTTAAGCTCAAATAAAAATAACGAAATAAACACTAGCGATAATAAGATGAAAACTCAGTGATCAATTTTGAATTATACGTAAGTTATAAATCAACCCCCCCAATTTTAGACTAGTCGACTTTGAAGGACGTGGTTTGTTTGTAGTAAATGATCATTCGATTATAATTTAAATCGACTTACCTGTTTTTTCTATCCTGTCGGGCAAACATTTGCAGACAGAGAAGTTTGTGAAATTCGTAAACAATTAATGACCATTATTTATTTTCTGTTGTGTTGACTTGATGTACCAAGTCTCTTCTGTTGGCGCTAACAATAAACTTATCGCCTAGTTGCGCCTGGCTGACTGGAAGGAGAGCCGACGCTTCAATTATCATTAGTTATGTCTTTCTGTTCGCTTTTGATGACAATTTGAATTTTTTAACCTCTCATCGTTATTATAAATTACAACTTTTACATCAATTATCAAGTATTGTTTTACACATCAGCCAGAAAAACTGAAGACACTTCAAATGTGTATAATAAACAAAAATGCAATTACATTCTTAAACCTTAGGCAAATCCAATTTAGATATTCTTCATTACAGATGAGACAGGAAATTTATATAATTATTATATGCTTTCATTGCCATTGTTAACACTGAATTATTGATATTAATTATAAGTATGATTATTATTTTTATGAAAATGCAGAGTTATAAATTTGTGTTATGTTGAAACAGGGAAAGCAACATATCTTATCAAATTTTTGATATAATAAATTGAACTTGAAAGTAACTATTTAGCAGTTTTTAAATCTCATTATTACTCCAAAATTATTTATTCTGATGATTGGAGCTCAGAGTATTTTATAAAAAAGTGCACAAATATAAATACTAGCTTAAAACAATCCACATCATATTATATCATATATATATATATATATATATATATATATATATATATATATATATATATATATAAAAAAATTAATGGATTTATTTTTAATACAACATTTTTATTACTTCAAACAATATTTTTTTGCATGGCTGTGTTTAAAATAAAAAGGGCGTCTATTTCAAACACAGGTAGCCACAATATATTAGCTTAAAATATATAGAAACCTTCAACCTTTAGTCTATGAATTATTAATACATCCAGAAAGGTCAGTTGGTCTTCTGATTGCTTTTCCAATGTGAACTGTATTGAAATTTTAACTGAATTCATATGGTCTAGCAGTGATTGTAATCTTGTTGGGGGTACCAGAGTATAGGTGTCACCTACATATCTAAGCAACATGGTTATTTTAGTGCTGACATTTCTAGAGTCATTCTATAAAACTATCCAATATATTTTTTAAAAGTTCCATACTCTGGTTCAGTAGAAGAAATGAACAGGTGGCACAAAAGGCAAATAGACAAGTGAGTATTAATAGATAAGAGATATCCTCAAAGCATAGAAGGTACAAAGAAGGCAATGTATCTACCCACCTATAGATTGAGTAAAGAGTTTAATTCCAAATTCAGAAAGTACCAAGTATGACAGATTAATGAAGAAGTCTGAAGAACATGACTGAAATGTGAGTGTAACAACCAAAACAAGTTTAACAACCAAAATGAGAATGCATGACTGAATGTAAAGTCAAATGGCACTGAATATAGATGAAAACTGTTTGAAATAGAAGATATATTTCCAGAAATTATGTGAAAACAAATCTAAAAGTATTATAAGATGCAAAAGGTGATTATCCCCCTTTGGTTGAGATGCTGTCATGTGATGGCCATTTAGTGACATCAATTCATAGTCTGTCCATTAGTTAGCTTCCAGGAATCAAACTGAGCATTTCCTTTTTTTAGTATGGGCAAAGGCTAAATTTGCCCAACCGGGTGAGCTGCCAAAGAGACAGCTCACAAGATCATAGTGCCTCTTCCCCCATTGGGAAAAATATGTCCTCAGAGACATAGGAGACAAATCCAACCCGTGTGAATTCCTCTTGGAAATATAAATATGGCTTCACCAGAAACATAAAAGAATCCTCCAGCAGCACTAATTCCTGTTGGAAATTATTATAAGTAAGAATCTATTTCTCTTGGTCATTTTTGCACTACTTGTTGTATACATGTGTTATAGGTTCTTTGTGTGGGACAAGTGTAAATGTTTGTATATAATTTTGTGTATGGCTTAGCAGTATAAAACTCTCTTTGAGAACAAAGCATGTTTGTCATTCCTTTTTTTCAGCTGTTCTATTCTGTCCATGCATTAAGGTGTTATTTTATCATGAATATAATAATGCTTATTGTGGTGGGGAAATACAAATAGGAAATATTCCTTTTCTCACCTGATTAGCAACATTTATTTTGAGAAGTAACTTATAATATTGATATTATTACTAAGAACAAAAATATAAACAAGTTAGAATTATATCATTGGCACAAGGTGAGGTCATCAAGGTGAAGATTTTTGGGTTTTTGATACTAATGTCCCTCCAATGCAAGGCCCAGGAGCCACTCAAGGTAGAGTTTTACTGTGTGGTGTTGTATGAGTGTAAGAAAAAGCAAGAAGTGATGCTTATGAAGTTATGTAGGAAAGATAACAGTTAACCCTAGACATGAAGAGGTCAAGATTGTAGTGACTGGGAAAACATAGAGCCCCAGTTCTTGGAAAGACACAGTCCAAGTGAAACTTACTTCTTACTAATGGAAATGATGAAATATCAAAACCAGAATTAGAATCACATGAGTAATTAAGCTAAAAATCTGTTTGGCTCTACTTTCTTTTGAGAAATTCAAAATGCTAAACTATTTAGGATTCAGAATTCAGATGGGGGAGGTTAGATCAGTCAAACTTGACTCTAGACCTTTTTTGGGCGACAGTTATCATGTGAAAGAGACATATGATTTAGATGCCTGTAGGAGAGAGTCTGAACATCTTGACTCCTATAAGCCTTTGTTAATATTTTCTATAAAGAAAAAGATAATAGCATATCACTTTCTCTCAGAGACAGGAAAATGAGAAAAAATAATTGAAGAAAAGCTGTTTCAGTAAAGAGAAAAGAAAAAAATACAGCGTCATCAAAAAGAAACAAAAACCATTTTAACAAATACTAAGAGAAAAACTTGAAAGGAGATAAAGGGATAAAGAAAAGAAGGAAAAAAGAGAAAGGAAAGAAAAGAAAGAAGAAGAAAAAGAAAAGAAGGGAAAGGAAAGAAGAGAAAAGAAGAACTCCTTTTATTGTTATAGATTGACTGTGGTGAAAGTCTAAAAAAGTAAAAGGAAGGAAAAAAATTCCTTGCTTCACTGTACATTGATAATGAAGAAGAAGAAGAAAATAGAAAAGAAAGATGTGTTTTATTTTTGCTCTGGAAATGACTGAAAACAAATGTATTAAAAGTAAAAGTCGGAATAAGGATAAAGAAACAAATTTCGTTTAAAGGAAGTAAATACAAAACAAAGAAAACACATGCAAAAACTGGATTGCATTTCTAATGGTTTCTCTGATTCATTATATACTATTTTTTTAATTGATAATGATCAATTAATTAAAAATCTGTGATAATTAACAATCACATTAATCGTTCTAAGAATTCCTGCTAACAGAAAAGTAGAAGAAAAATAGCAAGTGATGTTGAGGGTTAATGAAGATTGCTGAAAAATTACAGCAGGAATAATTGTTATAGTTAACTCTTCATTTACTTAAAAAACAATTCAATGAAAAATGATTAGATGTTTTAATGAATAAAATTATTTTTTTTCAAAATGCAAGAGGCAGTAGCTTAAATAGATTACATATTTTTAATTGATGTATATAGTGGGCCTGGTATTTGAAAACAAACTATAAAGAAAAACAAAAACATTCAATAAAAGAAATTTTAAAAACAAATTTCTATGTATGCTCAACTGAGAAAAAAAGAGGAAAAGGTTATTAAATAAAACTGCATTCAGCCTTGAGAACAGAACGATGCAAACTTAGAAATGGCTGAATGTTTAGACTTAGTGGCTTTCATTTTTGTTGGTCATCACATTCACAACCCTAACCCTAGCAGCATACTGTACTAATTAATCCCCCCCTTAATAATGCCCCAAACTCATATGTCAAAGGGATTTAGATCAGGGGAGCGAGGAATATGTATGGGCAAGATGATCATGAAAATTCTTAACCAATCATTCCTGTGTCATCTTGAACAGATGAAAGAGATCAAAAATCTACTGAAATGACTTGCTAATCCAGGGCTTGACCACTATGTTTCACACTTTGTTGGTAGTAGACCTGATTCTGATCCCTTGTAGGAAAAAGTGGGGTTGCATAAGATGGCCTTCATTGCTCACAACCTCTAGGAACATCCCAGGCAATATGAACTTGTCATGCATTGTTGAAATGTTGTCTAAAAATAATCCAGGTCATATGATATGGGACATTACAGAAATGTTGCACACAAGACCAGCATATCTTACCTATGACCAGCCCTAAGTCCACATATCTTACCCACAACTGGTGTGTGGGGAGAACCTATCACTGGCCCTGGCTCCACATGTCTCAAATGGGCATTTGAAAACACTTGGATACATGCATCACAACAATGTTTGGGTAACTCACAATTTAATGGGAAAATTTTAATGGACCATATTTCTGTCTATTATTCTCCACTCAAATGCAATGAAAACAAAGCATTTTTGAAAAGTATAATCACAGTAAAGTACCTAACTACTTTTTGTTCTTAATATATGTGCTATTTTTGTTCTTTTTGTTTTGTAAGAATAAGTATGACAGGAAAAGCAAATCATAAGAGTTGCTTGAACTCAAAACACAAAATCTCTGTTTACTGAAAATCTCTCTGGCTGCGAAAATGTGAAAATGACAGTAATTTTTTTTAACAGGTAAAAGTGTAGTTCTTGTATTGTTGGACACCACATATATAAACACCACAGATATATATATATACTAGCAGTAGAGCCCGGCGTTGCCCGGGGATGTAACAGTAAGAGATAGATCAAGTATCGACCATCATAAAGACTGAAAAATAAAATTGTCAAAGATTATTGTTTAAGGTTGACGGACATGCATGTCTTAATTAGTTTTTTTTTCTTTTTTTTTACAAATTGGTCAAACCCAAATTCAAACAAAAACATTGTTTACAATCGTTATGAGTCTATCGATTGGTGAATAGAATTTTATAAACAATTGTCTTCTAAATGGAATTTTTAAAGCATTCTGAATGTAAAAATAAAGAAAAAA